CGTGTAATTTATATGTTTCTTATTAATTAATTTGAATTGTTATTCTATCACACATGATTCTTAATAATTTAATATTAAGATTTTGCATATAATTCAATTATATTTTCTGTTGATAAAGGATGCTCTATTACCAGAAATATTTGAAGTTATTTATTTTCTTAAGCTTTTTTAAAATTTTATTAAATTATATCAAAAAAATATAAAATAAATTAAAACAATAAGATCTAGTTTTTGCTCATTATATCTAGCGTTTGCTTATTTTATTGTATTGTTACTAATATGAGCTCATCATCGTCATTACTATTTTTTTCTTTTCGTTACGACCATGTAAATAATTCCTGGAAGTTAGAATTTTGACAGGGTGTTCAATACATAAGAAAAATTTTCACAAAATTTTTGAATAAAAAAAACAGAATAAAACAGAATGTGCAAAGATATTAAATAAATGCTCCATTTATAACTAGACATTTTGATTTTAAAAACTATATTTGACCTATACATATTTCAGGAAAGAAATAAAAGTTATAATTTACAAAAATGTTCTTTTCCATTTAAAATCAATGAGAAGGAGATATATGCTAAGCTCCAAAAGCAAAAGGATGTAGTTTACGTGATAACAAAATTGATTAAAATTCACACTGAAAAAAATCCTGGATATGATGTTATATGTATGTACACATACCTAGGGGCAACAGCTCGTGCCTTTTTAATACGTTTTTGCTTACGACGGATCTTCCTCGCTGGTTGATTAAACCAGGTCTTCACGTATCTTTGCCAATCCTTATGGAAATGGCCATTTGGGATCATATTATTCCCCTTACCCATGGTTGATACCTAATATCTGCAACAGAATCAAAATTAAACATTTGCGTTTACATGAAACTTGAGATACTTAAATTAGATATTTTTGTAATTGAGACATGATGTTTGGTAACTAATTTGTATATGAAAAGAGAGGTTAGGCTCTCTGATGAGCACAACAGCAGTTTAATTACACACATAAATAACCTATATTTTACACAAAATTGTAGGAGATGTTAAATACATTAAATTGTTGAGAAAGAACTGCAACAGAGAAAAAAATCGAAGAAAACAAAAGTTCACCAGCAGCAGTTTGACCCTGGATTCTAACCTCTCTTTCGCGGAGTAAACAGAATTCAAATAAAAAAACAATTATCTCAATACAAGGATTACACATATGAGGCAAAAGCAGTCAGAAATATAAAGAGTTGCACATTCTCGTCATTATATATTATGCAGCATAAACGATGCTAATACCTCGTACAGATTTAATTCCTGACATCCACTCACCAACTCACGCACACGAGACAAATCGGAAAAGGAACGTGAGACCGGCGGAAGTGGCACTTTTGCGAGTAGAAATCTTTCTGTTGCGCATGAATGAAATCTTTTTATGAATTTTTCGAAATTAATAACAATGTCAATAATAATATTAATAATATTCAAGGATGACTAATATTGCAGATTGACAAAGTAAATTATATTTTCAATCCATAAACAGTAATTTATCTGCAGTTGTATAGAAAAATGGCAGCGCACGTAGCGTGAGCATATGTAAATGTGCTGTGTGTACAGTCGTTCAGTCTCACTTTGTTTATTGGACGAAATCTGACTCTTAAAAAATGATGATGCAAAGATTATCTTATCCTCTCAAAATATCACGATGCAAGATGCGAAAGTGTTTAAATAATTTTATTCACCAATCGTTGCAACTGTCTGCCGATACAGCAATGGTATTTTTATTTAAATGTTTTTCTCATTGATTTTATATAGAATGTTTAAACGTAAGACATAAAATTTGTTTAATTATTCTAGCCTGATTTTATTTTACTCGTACATGCAATGACAAAAAATTTTCAATATTCAGTAGCCACCTTATGGAAGTAAATTTTATTAATAAAATAGGATTGAAGTTCGAAAATTGTTGTATCGCTTGGTATGTTGTTTATTAATGAAGCATTGCTTTTCAGTCACGATATACACTAAACAGAAAGAGGATAGTAGAGAAGTATTGGGGTGATAAAGTTAGTTCTTGTAAATCCAGTGTTAATGGAGATGCCAAAGACAAATTTTACATTCTTTCTATGTTTCCATATCCGTCTGGTGCCTTACACATGGGTCATGTTCGAGTTTATACAATAAGTGACGCTGTAGCTCGATTTTATAGACTAAAAGGCAGGCCTCATAAAAATACATAATATTGATTTATACGATATTTAAGGAGATAAGTTTTTATGATGATATATTTAAAAAATCATTTTTAATATAAAATAAATTTAGGCAAAAATGTAATTCATCCAATGGGCTGGGATGCCTTTGGATTGCCAGCGGAAAATGCGGCTATTGAAAGACAAATCAATCCTGCTGTATGGACAACTGAAAATATTGAGACAATGCGAAACCAATTAAAAATGTTAAATTATTCTTTTGATTGGGATAGAGAATTTGCAACCTGTGATCCAGATTATTATAAATGGACTCAAGAACTGTTTCTAAAGTTGTTCGATAAAGGTTTGGTCTATCAAAAGGAAGCTTACGTTAATTGGGATCCTGTTGATCAGACTGTATTAGCTGAGGAACAAATAGATATAAATAAACGATCTTGGAGGTCTGGTGCATTTGTTGAAAAAAAATTGTTAAAGCAGTGGTTTATTAGAACAACAGCTTTTGCAAAGTAAGTTTGAAAATAATATATATGTGTGTATATATATATATATATATATATATATATATATATATATATATATATGGTGTTCTGAAAAATTAATATTTTTAATAAATAAATAATGTCATAGATCATTATTGGAGGGTTTAAATGATCCAACCTTGAAGGAATGGAGAGATATTACAAAGTTGCAAAAACATTGGATAGGTGATTGCAATGGTATTAATATTGATTTTAAATTAGTATCCGAAATTCCAGAGTTTCCAAGAACATTAAACATATGGATTGACACACCAGAATTTATAGAGTACGCAAAGTTTGTTGCTATATCCTCTCAAAGTATATTAAATCGTCAAGAGCATACATATGAAATAGATGTTGGAATAAAGGGTTTAAACGCAAAAATAATAAATCCATTTTCCGGTGAAGAATTGCCGATTTTTATCACTGACAAAGTTGTTTATCCACCATGGAGAGATGTTCGCTTGGGTATACCTTCAGCATCGATGGACGATTTAAAATTTTCAGAGTTAGTTGGAATACCATTTACTCGGCATTCAATACGTAGCTACGAACAGCAACAGCAGAAGATATCCGAAATATCCCAAAAAGCTAGAGAATGGGGTATAGGCGGATATCCAGTAAGCTCGAAATTGCAGGATTGGTTAATCTCTAGACAAAGGTATTGGGGTACACCTATACCTATTATTCATTGTACAAATTGTGGCACACAACCTGTACCTCGTAATCAACTTCCTGTGATATTGCCAAAGATGACAGACTCAAGCTCGAATAAGAGGTTCTTGATCCAAGATATGAAGGATTGGTTGCAGACGAAATGTCCCAAATGTGAAGGAAATGCTACTAGAGAAGCCGATACAATGGACACATTTGTAGATAGTAGCTGGTATTTTCTAAGATTTATAGATCCCCAAAATACAAAAGAGATGTTTTCGGTAGAAAAAGTTAAGGAAATGTTTCCCGTAGATCTCTATATAGGTGGAAAAGAACACGGTATAATAGCAACGTTTTTCTTAATTAATGTATTTAGGAATTTTTGTCAAATTAAATTATTTTTTACAATTTTTATACCTTTTAGCCGTGCTGCATTTATACTTTGCGAGGTTTATTAGTCACTTTCTACACTCGGAAGGTCTTTTACCATGTCGAGAACCATTTAAACAGCTCCTCGTGCAAGGAGTAGTAATGGGTAAAACATATCAAGTTATAAGTACTGGCAAATATATACTAGAAAATGAAGCGTTGAAAGAAGGGGATCAGTACAAGACGAAATCCGGAGAACTTGTCTGCATGCGCTGGGAAAAAATGTCAAAATCAAAACTCAATGGAGTTGATCCTCTCAATCTGTTGAATAAATATGGAATAGATACGACAAGATTATTAATACTGGCCGATGTTGCGCCAACGTCCACTAGAAATTGGTCAGAAAATAGTAAGCTTCTTAAATTACAGTCACTTATTTGAATGTTCTTATTAGAACATAATATACTTATTCATAATTGCAGCTGTTACAGGTATAAGCAAGTGGCAAAATCGTCTTTGGACTGTTGTTAAACAATTTAAAACTGAACGCGACAAAATGTATCTGGAGGAACTCGAAAGCAAACCTACTGATCCTAAATTCGCTGAACAGGATGCATACATGTTTGATAGTCGGAATTATTTTCTGAAAAACGTGACATTTAACATAGTAGAATCGCAGCAACTTAGTGTAGCGATATCTCGACTGCAAGGCCTTACAAATAGGTAAATAATTATATTTATACTTTAGTAACTCCGTGCACAGTGTAATTTTAATTTTTAATATTTGAATATATACACATTGAATAAATCTGAATCTATTATAGCTTACGAAAAGTTGACTTGGAGTGTCTAAGAAAAAGTCGCGAATTCGAGCGAGCGTTAGCTGTTCAAATTATAATTCTCGCTCCATTCGCTCCACATTTTGCTTCTGAGTTATGGGCTATGTTCTGTTCTGTTAAATATCATCTTATAGATAATACTGAAGTTGACTTAAACAAAACTATATTTGAACAGAAATGGCCAGATATTGACATGGATTATAATCTTGTAATGAATGTTTATGTAAGTATCCTGATATGTATGATTCTATTATTAAAATATTATTAAAATACATGAAAAATCAAAGTGCTTACAAAATTATATATATATTTCTATTTTTCAAATTTTAATTGATCATATTTATACCATATGTAAACATCATAGGTAAATCAAAGACAATTTCTCAAAATGAAGATTCCTCGATGTGAGCTGGATAAAATGGCGGCAGATACAGCGTTAGAATACGTGATCCTCCATCCGTATTATCAAAAATATTCGTACAATAAAAATGTTGTAGATGTCAATTTTAAAGCAGAGAAAAGCTGTGATGCGTCGTTGTACATAACCATGGAAAAACAGAAAGAAGATTAGATAAAAAAATAGCATTATTTCAATTTGTACACATAAGATATTGATAGAAATTTATTATATTTATTAAGACAGACATATTTAATACAAAGAGAGGCAACAAAGTTTTTTAACTAAGATGATAGTTCAATTTGCTTACCTAATGTCGTATTTTCCTTCATATCCATTATCTGGAATGGTTTTCAAGAATTTTATATAATTAGTGGGAAGTTTGTTTTCTTCAGCCCCTTTTAAAATCGTATTTCTGCACGAATCATAGAAAATTTTTAAAGAAAAATTTTAAGAGATTAAAGATAAAAATAATTGTGTTTAAATTACTGCAGTTGCTTTTTAAATTGCATATGATGACGTACAGGTATAATGGTGAAGGTCTCTTATCCATTGGAAAGTCTGCTGGCTTTATATATTCTTTTGGATTATTACATTGCTGATACACTCGACAATTTAGAGTTCTACCATCAGGAGTTTCAACATTTACTGACATTGCACGATATATATTATCTTGAACACCTTCTTGACAGTCTAATGTAGCTAAATTGCATTTGTCTAATTCCCAGACTACACCCCATACCACTGAATGTTCCGTTTCTACAATTGTGGCAGATGTTCCATGCCATCGTTTAGAATATCTGTAAAAATCCAGCCTAAAATTCTGTAATAAAAATACATAATGTGTATTATTTTATATAAATATACTGTATATATTTTAATAAATATATTAATATATAAATAATATAATGTATAAATGTAATAAGATTAATATTAAGATCTTGTTTGCGTTAGAAGAGAAATTTAATAAGTTTAATAATTTATAGTTTATATTATGCATCACTATCTGGGTATCAATCAAACTTGAAACTTTATCCCTAAGATGGAAAGTGAAAAGTGAAAATTTTAATCATTGAAGTTAATGAAAAAAATTTTTAACAATTTTTTACTATCAACTTTATAGAAAAGCTGCGAGAGACAAAAATTATTAATTTTTTTCTCTTGCAGCATAAAGTTCTGAGAATTTTTTCAGAATTTTCTAATACCATATTTTCTCACGTTGGTAAAACTAAGAAAATGCAGTACTAAAAAGTTGATAAAAAATTTTGAAAAAATTCTTAGTTCTATGAGAAAAAAATAAATGATTTTTGCCGTTTGTAATTTTTTTGTAAAGTTGATGGCATTTGAGTAAAAAATTATTCAAGATCAATATTTGGCAATTTTTGGCAATTAATATCTTGTTAACTATTGCAAAAATTGCAAAATAGTAGAGGACTTTTCGACTCAATTTAGTCCACTCTACACAAAAGCTTTCGGGACACCTTGTACATATACACAGGGTGAATGTTAATGCATGTCTGTACCATGGAAAGTAAGTTATCGACTGTATCTGTAATTATCTGTTTTTTTTAAATCCAATGAAAGAATTTTAAAAAGTAAATTCTTTTTGAGTTTATAATAATGATTTGTGCTATTTCAGCACGTATACATCAGCCATCTACATATACACCGTTTAGATGATCATACTTTATAGCTGCAGTTGGTACAGATGCATTAACATTCATCCTGTGTATAACAATTAATATATATACATCCACATAAAGTTTGGAATAAATCCTGTATTAAATCAACCAGTACTTTGTCAATCAACAAACTTGAAGACATGGAATAACTTAAAAGAAATATGTATACATCTTGATCTTCTTTTCTTAATTACCTTTATGTAACCGATGTCCTTCATTATTGCGGTCGGATTACATAAATGTATTCTCTTAGCGCATAAATTACTCCCATAAGCGAAATACAGAAACGTGTTTGCCATTTTTCAGACTGATCCAAACTGGTCTTGCAAACTTTTCACAAATAAAGGGTCTCTTTCACCAATCTCGGTTAAGTAAATCAACAGTTACATAGGACTCATTTAGGCTCAGTTTCATCACTCATTATTACTTAAAATAAGTTAAATCTCGGTTAAAAGTTAGTCATGAGTTGTGTGAAACTGGGCCTAAACAAGCCCCATGTTAACTGCCGGTTAACTTAAGCAAAGTTGGTGGAAGAGACCCAAAGTAATAAAATGTTTCGTTATCACATTATTCACACTACTTGACACACGTCTCGACTCTACTGCATTACTGCTACTATCAAAATAACGATGAGGACGAGTCGACGAGCGCACATATATATAAAACACTGTGTGTACAAAATATACGGTGTGTGTATCTACGAAAGATAAGATATGTCATGGTTCTTCCACCTGCATACAAATATAATATATATCTTATGTGCACAGTGACAATTAAGTTGTTGTTAGTAATAATAATCCTGAAGAAAGAGGACGCGCTCCTCGCCTCTCACGAGCGCCGTTTCGGTCTCTACGGTGACACTACGGTGACACTACGGTCTATCACTTAATTAACTTTTATCTGTCTAATTAATCAACCGAATTTCTGTCAAGATTCACAGTGTCAGTAAACCCAATGATTGATTTGAAGCGCGTTTTGTAACCTAAACCCGACTGATCACATCTGAAGCGTTCGGTGAGTTCGTTGGTTGTCTTCGGTCGAACTCTAAAGCTTTTGGTAGCTCTCTCTCTTTTTCTTTCTCTCTGTTTCTCGTTCTATCTCTCTCTCTCTCTCCCTCTCTCTCTCTCTCTCTCTCTCGATCGTTTTCCCTTTTTTCTTTCTCTATCATATTTAACATCGTAGCGACACTGGCGACCATCGTGGACGGCGTGGACTGCAGAGTGCAGGCTGCACTTCTGCCACTTCTGGACACTGCAGAGACATTCGGAACATTTGACGGCGTGGACAGTGGACTAGCGTTAGCCGCATGGATACGGAACAATTCAGCGGGATAACGCCGCTGGAATAGCTCGGAGGAGTGTTTTTTCATAATCTAAGTCGTAAATCGTGTGAAGGTAAGACAGGCTTGAATACACATAGACATAATTACGCATTGTTTATCTCCCCATCTGTCTTCCCCCGGAACGCTCTGCAATAACAGAGTTCTCCGCGTCAATCACCCGCGCGTCTCTTGATCTCTATACTCTGCTTGTTCTTAAGGCCCTTGTTTGGATTTGTCATCCACTACGAAGGGTTACAGTACCGTTTGACAAAGGATCCAAGGATCCAGTGATAATCTTCTTGAGCAGAGGCTTCACTTGTTCAAGACTTGCAATTATTATAGTACCGTATCGATTCAAAGTTGATATTCAAATAGAGCCCTTTCATATATTAAGTCTTCTAAAACCTAATCACACAGATTGAATAGTGAGAGTTCCTTAAGTATGACATAAATAGAATAGTCACCACATGAAACATGTATGTGAGGCATGGATGGAATCAAACTTGAATCCTCGGATGAGTCCGTGGATCAAGTTCGGAGCCATCTGACGTTTTTCATCTCTTTATTGTTATTTTTCCAAATGACAAGGTTTCTTTTTATGGCGCGAAAAATTATGGGGTTCTTAAAGATGAAATCAAACACGATACTCGATTTCGTGAATAATATCATGTGATTCCATCTTAGGCTATGTTCAGATTCTCACCCAAGTGCCGCCCAGATATCACTCTATCGTTGTTATTTACCGAACGTTAAACAAGGATACCTGAAGAACACCCGAGTGGGAATCTGAACACATTTCTTAGAAATAAGGAGAGAGAAAGAGAGAAAGGATTTTTACTTACTGATGCTACAACGTTCATTTTTAGCTTCAAAACAGGTCATGTGATCAAAATTGGCGAATATTAAGCGTCATTTTCTGACCTGAAAAGAGCATCATAAAAATTTAATCAAAGGGAGATGTGCATTCCTGACTTTCAATTTTTTTCATTAGAATGAATGTTTAATAAATATAAAAATTATGTAGATATATGCAGCATGCAGTGTTCAATGTATGAACGAATTGTAGCATACATCAGAGTAGACATAACTATGCAAGTTATCATTCAAGAAATTGAACATCATGTGATTTCATCTTAGGATCTCTTTCACCACCCTCGGGTAAGTTAACCTGATAGTTACATGGGATTCATTTATATCTATTTCCACCAACTTATTCTTTGTCTTTTTCTAATTCTAATAAAAGATTAGAATAAGACGAAGAATAAGTTGAATCGAGAAAGTTAATCTACGTTGGTAGAAATGGGCATTAGATCCAGTTTCACAACTCATGACTCATTAACTTTTAATTAAGGTTTAACTTATTTTAAGTAATAATGGGTAACAATGAGCATAATAATAAATTGTGAAACTGGACCTAAATAAACCCCATGTAACCGTTGGTTAATTTAACCGAGATTGGTGAAAGAGACTCTTTAACAGGGTTGCCACAGATCTGGAAAACTGGGAAAACTGGGAAAAGTCAGGGAAATTGAAATTGATCATGGAAAAATTGATCAGAGGAAATGTAAAAAAGTCTGGAATTTTGAAATTTGTTTTTCTTAAACTGCTCCTATTCCAGATAATTGTTATAATTTTTTAATATTATATCTGACGTTTATAGTAAAATACGTAAAATAACGTTCAAAACTCGCACACTTTAAATGATTTTAATAAAATAATTAAAATTTATATTTTATTCAGTATTTTTATTTGATCGCCCTTTTTCGTAATTGCATTTTTTTCTAATATTATAATAATAATTTATTTTTTGTTGGCTTGAATTTACATCAAAAATTTTAGTATGTTACTAACTTTTTTTGCGTTGTTTTTAATAATATAGGCTTTCCTACAATTCTTGACTTTAAATGTGTTAAAATTTACATATTTTATATTGGAAAATTTTCCATTTTTATCTGGAAAAACCTGGAAAAGTCAGAGAATTTTAAAATTCATTTTCTGTGGCAGGATTAAGGAGAGAGAAAAAGAGAAAGGGTGTATTTTAACCTGATGCTGCAACGTTCATTTTTAGCTTTAAAACAGGTCATGCGATCAAAATTGGCGAATATCAAGCTGACCTGTTCTGACCTGAAAATGAGCGTCGTAAAGTCAGGTAAAAATGCAGCCAAAGAGAGATATGCATTCCTGATTTTCAATTTTTTTTCCAATGCAACTAACATTTCGAGGGAAGCGCTGATTGCACAATATTATGATAAAGCATATAATACTTTCATGATAATTTAAAAATATAGTATATATATATATAATATTT